CATTCCTCGCGGGTGGGCAAGTGTGAAGACCAAAACCCACCATGACTAAGGCCCTCGGGCTGGGTGGTCACTTGTTTAGAACATTCCTCGCGGGTGGGCAAGTGTGAAGACAAAATCCCTACAATGAAGACTATATAGCCAGGTGAGAAAACATGAAGGCAAGAGCACCGGGACGAGCGCAATTCCAAGACTAGAGAACGAGCATAAAAGCATGAACGTAAAAGAGAAGTCCAATGATGCAGAAAATCCATCATGTTTAAGGCCACGAGGCTGGATGGTCGCATGTTTCGACCACCTCCAGGGGTGGGCATGTGTTCAAAAATTTAAAATCCATCATGTTTAAGGCCATGAGGCGGGATGGTCGCATGTTTCGACCACCTCCAGGGGTGGACATGTGTTCAAAAATTTAAAATCCGTCATGTTTAAGGCCACGAGGATGGATGGTCGCATGTTTCGACCACCTTCAGGGGTGGGCATGTGTGTATGTATGCATGTTACGACTAAATTATTCAAGTGATCGTGAGGCAAACATACAAATATCGTTTAAATAACGAAGAATGGGCCGACTAATGAAAGCATGTTATTCATATATCAAAGTTCGCATCAATCATACTCTGAAGTCCGCTTTGGTTTTTCCATCGAGGAGTTATAACAAAAGCATCAAGTCAAATTACTAAAGAGCATTACTGAAGATAGAGACAAGTCAAAAACAAATATTGCCATTTCAAAAATATTACAAAGTTCATTATGGTACATAGTTCGAATCCAATAGGGGCAAAGCATAAAATACAGAGCTAATCTAAGGAGGAGGAGCTGTGGTCGAGTCAGCGTTACTCAGATTGGCGTTCTGTTATGGCTGATGGCTGGTCCCTGAGGTCGAGTCGCAAGCTTCATCGAGGGGGCGCTGGCGGATAGACTCGGTCAGCACGGCCAGCATCGAGGCAGGAGGAATGAGGCCATCGGGCAGAGCATAAGTCTTCTTCAAAGTGTCCGATCGAGCCAGAGTCCTTTCGAGCAGCCCGGACTACCACTCATGCTCAGGCGGTAAGTTGGGATCGCCCTGGAAGC